AGATCAATCACAAATATGAGTAATTCACAACTATGTACCTTACTCTACATTATAAAACTAGAAAAAAAACTTTTAAAAACACACAACATAGATGACACAAGTGTCATTGGTGATATATAAAGTTTTGAAAATTATACTCTGTAGGTTACAACGGATCCTAAGTATGCCTGTTTTGGCTTATGCAAAAAGAGTTACCTTGCCCTCTTTAAGACTGCAAATATCTACGAGGTTCCCTTTAACTGGGTAACAGAGTTACAAATACTCCAGGTATATTGTGATGTAGAAAAACCAGTCTATACTATCAAAGGAAAATTTAAATAAGATTATTGAGAAAACACAGAACTATTAGCTAAGTAAACAATAGAATAATGAGGTTAATTGCTCAAAAAAAGCTGATGGGACTGGGGCATATATTAAGGATTTACTTTGACAAAAAAGTCATTGTGTTCAAGCCTGAAAAAAGCTTCTCACTATGCAAAAAAAATAAGGATACAATGGTCCATTTCCACAGCTGTTGCCCTGCCTTCAATTCTATTTGGATGAAGGTTTTAGTTAGCAAAGAGTTGTCTAGAAATTGTGAGGAAACCACTTTAAGAATATAAAATATTACAAATCTCAATAAATTCTATGTTTTCCTGCTGCTAATTTAAATGAAGGTATTTATTATTAGTCTGAGAAGGAACCACTGAGGAGAAAACCTTATAAAAGTTTCAAAACTGGAAAAGTTTAGTCTTATTTTATTTTTTAGGATTGAAAATGTATATATATATATATATATATATATATATATATATATATATATATATATATATTTAAACTTAACTATTTAATTGGGAATAAGGTCATTTAATTATTATTTAATAAACTATTGAATGTTCATTTCCATATATATTCCAGTAGCTTAATATTTGTGCTAGTGGACGGTGCTGAGACTGTCGGTGTGTCCCTGGCCTGATCGAAGCTCTATTTTTTTAAAATTCTAGCTTTGAAGAGGATCCCATGGTTGACTAATAAAAAGAAAATACCGGGATCGAAACGTCAATAAAGAGAAGAAATGAACATTCAATAGTTTATTAAATAATAATTAAATGACCTTATTCCTAATTAAATAGTTAAGTTTAAATTTAATACTCAAAGGTCGATTAAGGAAAAGTTGTAAATATATATATATATATATATTCCTTCTGTTGTAACCCCACAGAAGGAAAGTTTATTAAGTGAATTTTACATGCTCTAAGCCCTTTATAGTTAGGCATACTACATGTAGTACACGCATTTTGCTTTGTTGCATTGTACAATACATAGTACATTTAAATCTTTAATATATAATATTAGTTTAAAAAAATTAATTAAATTAGTAAAACAAATTACAGAATCAAGAAATTTCTATATAAAAATAAAAGACAGTATAATACAAAATAAATTAAAAAATGAAAAAAAAATAAAAATAAATATTAAAACATAAATAAACTAAAAATTTATCAAAAAATAAGAAAATAACTGAAAATAAAAGAAATAAACATAATTAAATAACAAAACACAACAAGCAAAGCAAAATGATCAACTTTTCTTAATTTAAACTGCTTTCCTTACATTCTTTAGTCAAGAGGTCTATGTATATTTCTTAAATAAAATATTTTTTAAATTTTGTCATCAGTTTCTGTTCTTTTTCTGGTCAATTTCCTTGTTTTATTATAATATTTTGTATCAGTCTTGCTCGAATATTCTCTAGTCATGTGGGTGTTCATGTAGTACATTAAATATTGTTTAGTTTGCCCGTGTTCAGTAAGGATTTATGTCAGTTAGCAGTCTGTACTGTGTAAGCTTTCATAGTTATGGCGAGTGATCAGAAGAATAAATATATGAAGGATTTTATGTCTGATTTTATGAATTATATAGGAAGCTTGTGCTAAATAATAGTGGAAGGTCACTATGAGCAGCTAGCTTTCCAGTGGAATCCGCTTCTTCATTACCTGTATATAGCTATATATTATATTACTTATTATATGTGTATATATATATATATATATATATATATATATGAAGAAGCGGTATATATATATATATATATATATATAGTAATGAAGAAGCGGATTCCATATATATATATATATATATATGTGTGTGTGTGTGTGTGTGTGTGTGTGTGTGTGTATGTGTATTAGTAGGCAAGAAACCATGTGGGAGGCCAAAAACCAGATGGAAAGATAGGACAAATAAAGATATGGCTGAGCTTCATGCTGCAAACTGGAAAGCAGTAGTCCAAGATAGGCAGAAGTGGAGAAGGCTGGTTCAGGCAGCCAAAGATCTACAAGGTCTGTAGAACCAACTGAAAAAATATTTATATATACACACATACATATATATTTATGTATGTGTATATATATTTTTTTTTTCTCAATAGAGACAGAGACAGAGACAGAGATAGAGACAGAGACATATATGTATATATATATATATATATATATATATATATATATATATATATATATATATATATAGGGGCCGGAGTAGCCGTATGGGCTAAGGCGCTTGCAATAGGTAAAGTTAAGCAACGTTGAGAGTGGTTAATACTTGGATGGGTGACCATTCATCAGGGAAAGCCATGTTGCCCAACTTACCGACCTGGCATAGTCACTGTCCTTGAACCCGAATGAGTCCGTGGGAAGGACACTGCCAGATTGGCCCCAACGGGATTGGCTATGGTGCTACGGGTAGCCTGTTGCTGCACCATGGACACCATGGATCATAGCAAAGTGAGTTTTGGTGATATAAGAGTATATTTAATTCATAAATCCTAGCAAAAACACATTTAATGAGAACAGGGAACTGTTTTATCGACATATGTACATAAACAATTACAGAACGTAGATTTTTCATTTTTCTTACAACCATTGTGTGCAGGATAGTTGTATATTAGTATACATTGAAATAATGAATATGTGGTAGGTATAAGATTTTTTTTCGACCATATCTTTCAGTTAAAATACTTCTTGTCTATATCTAATTATAGCAAGGCTTTGTCATCACAAACTCTATAATTGTAGTGTTAAAAAAATAATTATGATATATGATTATATGACTAGTTCCAATTTTTAGTTGACTAAATAACACTAATTTAAAATATATATTATATAATAAAATAATAAAATAATGTATTTCAATATAAATACAGTATAGTGAGTAATAACAATATATAATTTCTTTTTACTGATGTGTTGGTCAGGGCCTTAATAATACATTCTTCTTATGTATAGTGTTTTTGCACATACTACACGCACACACACACTCTCATAATACAAAAATATATAAATAAAATCCATTAAAAACCATTAAATACCTGCTTATACTGGGATTTGGTGATATTCTTTTCAATAAATAATTATTATTGTATCTATGTATATATATATATATATATATATATATATATATATATATATATATATATATATATATATATATTTATATAAATATATAAACTATTAACTTTTTTGTACACAGCTGTTATTCTTATGGTACAATGTCCTAGAATAAAGCTATTTTTTAATTGATTCTAAAATATATGTATTTATATACCCAAAAACTTATTTATGTATGTTGTGATTAAAACTAAGGAACTTTTCATATCGTTGCTATGGTTTATCCTTCTTTTAAATTTTGTAAGATGTTATAAGAAGATAATAATATAATGTCCAGGTCTCAGCTTCAATTCTTAATACAAAATCTGATAACTATAGAATACATTATTTTCCGCCATTATTTTCATTGGTATCAATTAGGCAGAGTATAGAATATGGAGGGGGAACCCCTTCTCCTCCTCTGGCCAAGAGCTAAGGTTGGTCAGTCTTTCTTATAGTGTGGAAAGTATTAAGTCTAACCCTTAAAGGTCTTTTTTACTGCAGAAATTCTAATTTTTCCACCTCTTAGCTTACAATTATTGCCCAGTTATGCAGCGGTAAGTTTATTATATTTCATATATTAATTAATTATAAATATAAACTTGAATGTGAATATAGCTTTTTTTTTTATTTCATGATAATGGACAATTTTCTTGAAAGAATTTTTTATAATTTAATTTTTATTGTATTCAAATTATACATATATATATATATATATATATATATATATATATATATATATATATATATATATATATATATATATTAAAAATACCTTCCTCTTTTTATTTCCATACCACCAAGTTGCCAATAGGTATAGAAGTTTGAACTCAGTCCATCTTCTTGAATGTGTCACGATGGTCTGGCCTCAATCAAGCATTTTATCTTCTTTCTATCACCAATCTACTCACATGACCAAACCATTTTAATTGGTGCTGTGTTCTACTACTTCTTCTAGTAGCGAGATTGATATTTTCATTGTGAATCTGGTCAGTTCGGCTTTTGCTCTTTTCATATCTCTGCTGCAGTCACTTTGTTCACATGATAGTCTAGGATTGTCCAACTCTTCGCTCCATGGAGCAAAACTGGAAGAAATACTATTTTTACCCTTTAACGGTGGTGTACTCATATATAAGTTGAGACTAAATTGGGCCAGGCGACATTGACCTTATATATTAGTCAAGAACCTTTCCGACTATTCCTCATTAAATGACAGGATGCTCAGTGATCAGTTCTACTTTCAAACTATATTGTAGTCTTCCTGTGAAGCAGGAGGTAATTTTTCTGAGAGTGGATATTATGGGCATTTTTGAACAATGATGATTTTCCTTCTATGCAGATCCTGTTGTTGGGGTGGAATTTTTGGCTTATTATCAAATATTTTGTTTTGTCTTCGTTTACATGTTGGCCAATCTGCTGTGTATCTCATATCAAAGTCATAGCAAATTTCTCAATGTCCAATGTGTATCCAAGGATTATTAGATAGTATGTTTAGAAAATACTCATCAGTTGATTAATTTTTTTTTAAATTATTAAGTATTAATAAATACAGTTATTAAGTTTTTACCTATAAACAGCAACTAATAATACTAACTTTTTTATTTCACAGAATTGTGATGGAAACATTGTGGAACACATTTACAGGAATTAAAAATATTTTTCAACTAAATCCCTTAAGAACTGATTCTCAAGCTTCTTTGGTAATAATAAAATTCTGTATTACTTAGGCCATTAATCTTGTTTATTTAGGAATAAATCAGTAGCGGGTCCAGGATTTATTTTTTAGAGCTAACACTAGGGATCTCGGATAGAAATACCTTATAACATGATACCTTAAAGCATCCTCCCTCGGGAAATTTTTAAAGATCACTGACCAAAAGTTGCGTTTTTTACACCATTTGGAGGAGTGAACATACACTAATTGTTTAATTATTTGTTCAAGACTGTGTTTTTTGATTATTATATTTTATTATTATTATTTCTTATCTAAATCACTTATAGACTATAGCTTTCCTGTTATTTCAAATGTCATTATATAATCATAATTTTATTCATTAATATTAAAATTCAGAATAAATAACACATTTTCAGTTTCAGAAAATACAGAATGTCATTACCCTTTGAGGGTAAATAATGTTACCGAAACTAAACTAAATATAGATTAGATAGAGTTTAGATACAGTTAGTTTAGTTCCAAATCATTTAAAAAAAATTATGTGTATTATGAACTAGTTGATTAATTTTGCAATAATTGAACGATAATTGAGCAATAATTTTGCATTAATAATTGTTTTCATTATTCTATCAGTTTGTATTTGTTTTAATGAGTGATCTGACCTAAATACATCAACAATCACAGTATGTTCTGTTTTGTAAAATTTAAAAAAAAGAAGACATGTGCCTTGGCTATTGAATGTAAGCATGTCTAATAAAAATAATTATTAGTTTAAAAAATAAATCTTGAATCTGCCAGTTCTCTCTCTCACTCTCTCTCTCTCTCTCTCTCTCTCTCTCTCTCTCTATATATATATATATATATATATATATATATATATATATATATATATATATATACATATATATATATATATATATATATACATATATATATAAGTACATAATTTTATATGTTACTAAACTAATTGATTAAAATTGTAAAGCAATTATTTCATATTAATAATTTTTGTACAGATTAGTGCAAATTCATCCATTGAACAGGGATTGGATAATCCTCAGTTTGACAATATACAAGTGAGTTATAGTTGATATTGATATATATCAGTTTATATGATTATTATATTTATATTAGAATAAATATTTGAATGTAGTAGCATTATTGTTAGGTAAAGATATCATGTGAAAAACATGCAAAAAAAAAAAAAAAAAAAATGCTTTTAATACAAAGCCAGGCCTTGATGATTACTATTGGAATTCGTAAAAGTAATTAATATTCTTAAAATGATTGTTTTTCAGAAAGATAACAGCAGTGTTAGTGACTTTGAAAATAACTACAGTGTTCTTGAGAATGAAAGTGTAAGTTATTAATGACATTCTTTTGTGAATAATTTTATTTTGTAATGGATATTACTATTAATATAAGTTACCTAAATCTTGTGAAAAACATTAAATAACACATGAAGTTTAATGATAGATATTTTAATTAATTTATTTTCTCATAATGATTATTTTTCAGATGATGGTAATTTCATTAATTTTACCATTTTGGATGGTGTAAATGTCAGCTATTAGTGATAATGTTTTTATAAATATTTTATTTTATAATATGTATCACAACTCTGAAAAGTTTGCCGATATTGGCATCACCTTCTGGACACCCCTGGGTTAATTCATTTAATTTTAATGACTTTTTTATAGATCACCCATCGAGTGGATATTGAACATCTTGGGGATGAGTCTGTGGTGGAGTCTGTGGTGAGTTGTTGTTGATATAATTTTATGAATACTTTTTATATTATAATTGGATAGCTGCATTGCTGTCTTTTTGTTCAACAAAAGTTTTATGAGAAGAAGGAAACAAGAATTCAATTTACTTCAATAATACCAAAAAATAGCACAGAATTATGCGATAAAATAACGCATTTAGATAATGTTGTATGGGATTCCATTTGGCAGATATTTGTTTGGTAATTAAGTTGTTGAATTTATATTACGGTTTAAAACTAATTAACAATTATATTATTTTAAATTGGTAGATTCTCCGAAATCTCTTATAAAAATTGTATTAAAAAAAAACTTGTCAAGAACTTTTTTATGATTATTTTGTTGCTCATTCTAGAGTTAATTAACAACATCATTGAATTTTTCTAAATCGTCTGCAGGTATTTTTCTTCACTGAAGCTGCATTTACTATCTTTGACAACTTTTTAGATAAATTCATATTTTTCTTGTTGCCAACATTTCCACAACTGTGTCAGTATATGAAGGCGTGGTTACACTAAATGTTGCGAAAATTTTTAGATGTGTCTTGAGACTAATCGGTGAATTTAGTAAGATGTTATAACAAGCGGTTGTTTAGTCCTTGCTAAATTAAACAAATTAGTATAAATTATAACTAAGAAAAAAAATTACTCCATACATACAATATGTATTGCAGAAGATAGAGTATGGGAGTTTAAATGTCAACAGCCCTACAGCCTTGTTCTTTTTACATTGTATTTTCTCCTACAGATCTTCCTTAATTTTGTTTAAGAAGAAAAAAAAACACAGTTCTCTGTTTAGATTTTTTTATACCATAGGTGAGGAAACTTTTATCTAACATTTTTAAAAACTCTCATTTTAACAGTTGTAGGAGATAAACAATTCATTTTAACAGTTCTTGTGAAACTTTTTATGAAAAAAGTCATTAAAATAGAAGGTTCTAAGGAACTTTTTTGAAATAAAGTTCCAGATTCATGGTAAAAGTTTAACTTGTACTTATTCAAATTCTTGAAAAAGTTCCATTGAATAAAAAATAAGCAGTAATTGGGCTTAGATTAGTGTTAGAATTTGTCTTAAATGAATTACATATGATTCTATTGTGTCGTTTGTTGGATTAGCTATGATTAAAAGTATTTTTTTAGATTGACTTTTTAACATAATCTACAGAAATTTTAAATTAAAGTGTTTTAAAAATAAAAGTTCTTAAAAACCTTAACTTGAAAAGTTATTGGGAAAAAGTTCTATTTCCAAAAGAACTGAAAAACTCAACAATAAAAATTCCGATGATACCGAAAGTTTTTAAAAATAAATGTTTTTTCCGTTTTAAGCTCTGCTATTTTGTATTGGTATGTACACTATAGTATATGCAGATTTTTATTTATGAACGATGGTAAAAATAAACTTGTGATTCACAGAGTGTGGTTGAAGAACAACCCACAGCCGCTGCAGATTCATCAGCATTGATTCCCGCTAATGAAGTTGTTGAGGAAGAATCAATTTGTGAAAAAATCTGTTGGTGGATAGCTGTTCTGGTTGATGCAGGAAATTTGATTTGAGATTTACTTCCATATTTATGTTTAATGATTTATATGGTTAATGAACACGGAGTGTTTATGGTTTTCATTTTAACATGATGTTTATTATTATGCTTTGGTCTTTTTTGAAGGTAAAGGTAGATTGATATATTTCAAAACTTTCATAACAAATGCTAATGATAATTATTAATTATATTATACATAATCAGTTATAAAATATTACAGGATCAATTCTAAGTTTAGAGGAAGTAAAAACAATGCAAAAACACATTGATGATACATTTCCAATATAATTATAGTTTCTGTCAATGTGGCATTTTATGTACCTTTACCTGATAATATTATAACTTTACGCTTCACTTTATTATTAGGTTATTTTTTTTTTTTTTTGTAAAGGTAGATTGTCTTCATTCTATTGTTACCGATGTAGTCAGTATGAATATATTTCAAAATTACATAGTAAATTCTAATTGTAATTATGCATCATTAGCTATAAATTATTACAGGATTGTTTTTAAGTTTACATGAAGTAAAAATAATCTGAAAATTCTTCGATAACACATAGCCACTATTATTATATTCTTTTAATTATAAACACTTAATGCTTTTATTTTTTTATGCTTATCCTTATTATTTACTAATTGGTTGTTGGTGTTAAAAGTAGAATGTCTTTATTTCATTATTATAACATAATCACTATAAATATATTGCTAACTACATGGCAAATACTGATTATACAAAATTAGTTATAAATTATTACATGATGGTTTTCAATTTTAGATAAAGTAATAAACAATTGAAAAGCCTTTGTTGCTTGTCATGATAATTGTCATTGCCATAATAATAATAGGTTCTGTATTTGAAGCATAGTATTGTACCTTTACCTGAAACCATTAATACTACTTTTATGGTTATTCTTTAGATTAGTTTATTAGATGTTAATGGTAATGGTAATACATATATGTTTCTTACAAAGAAAATTGCAATCAGTATAAACTTATAGCAAAATTACACTATAAGATCTAATAGAAACCAATTAGATGCCATAATCAATTATTAATATACTATTTTTAAAGTAATAATGTAATAAATAAATGTTTAAACATTTCTCTTTGTAATTGTATACATTGTCAAAAAAATTATAGTTTCTGTCCAAAAAACAGTGTATTGCACCCTTACCAGATACTGTAGTAATTGTTTTAATAAAATCAAGTTTGAAAAATGACTTGTGCATATTTAATAAACCCTTAACAATGATCAGATAACTAGATAGTATCAGGTATCTTTTTGATTCAATATATTTTTTGTGATAAAATGAAAATGTCTCATAATCTTTTTTGCGACATGAGTAAAGCATTAATAATGTAATTTTAATTTACATGTACGTTTCGGCCTTTGGCCAACCTCAGCATGTCTGAAAATGTTTTATATATATTTGGCTTAATATTAATATATTAACTTTTCTAAATATCATCAATAACAATTACCTGTTTCTAAAATATCACAATTTTTATTTTTTTGAAAAACTATTTAAGTGGTCGGAAAAGCGATAATTCATCTTTGCAACATTGAATTTGGAGAAAATCCTGATGAGTTATGAATGCTTAGTTAAAAGAGAAAAAAAAATATACTGAAATTGGTGATTTTATATTACTATAAAAATATGTATATAACAGTTTTAATAGATGCAAATAATGAACCTAACTTGATTTTTCATAACTAAAATTTACTTGGCTCACTTTACTGAAAACTATTTTGATGTTTCTAATGTGTGATATGTTATAACTCATTCAAAGCAATAGAAATGTTTTTTTATAATAATCTAGAAATTCGGGCAAAACAAAATAATATCAATTCGTTTTTTAAAGTTCTAGTAATGCTTTTTTTCTCGGCCCATTGAAGTGAAATTGGGGCCAAGTGTATATTTTTTGTTGTAGAACAACCAAAAAAAATTTGATATTTTTCAAATATATAGAATTATTCATTCGATATATTAAAATAATACATAATGCTATATAATTTCTTATTTTTATTTTTATTTATGAGATTCGCAACTGTATTAATAAAAATACATCTAGTAAATATGTACACAGAAATATAATCACATGAAAACGCTTGTAGTAAAAACTACCCACTGGTAAAACTCTTATAATATGTCTACATAAGGAGAGATCACGAGGCTATCTTCTTTTCAGACACCTCGGAGGGTTATCAGGAATTGAAGAGGACATGGCCAAAGAAACAGAATAAATAATTTATCTGCCATCAGCCCCAGATTCGACCCTGGGACCTAGAGCACTGGAAGCACTCCTAGAACCCTACCACTGATTGAGCTACTTCACTCCTCCTACCCATGTATTATTAAAATTGATTTTTTTTATATATTTGGGAGTGGGGTAGCTTTATAGAGGCTGAGTGTGCCCCAGGATGGTCTCCCGACCCCAAGGTCGCCCCACGGTTGATGAAATAGAATAAAGAATTCTGCCATGAGCCAGGATTAGAACCTGGGACCCTGAGCATTTGGAAGATCAGTGTTCTACCACTGAGCTATTCCACTCCGAATTATATAAACAAACTGAAATTAAATCATTTCAACTTTAATAATATATGGGTAGGAGGAGTGGAGGATATAATATATATGCAAGGTATATGTGTGTGTGTGTTTTTCTTCTATGGTAATCCCACAGAAGGAAAGAGTATTAAGTGAATATTACCTGCTTCAAGCCTATTATAATTAGGCATACTTCATGTAGTACACGCATTTTGCTTAGTTACATTTTACAATAAATAGTATATTTAGATCTTTAATATGTAATATTAGTTTTAAAAAAATAATTAAATTAGTAAAACAAACTATAAAAGGAAAAATAAAATTATAGAATCAAAAAATTTCTACATAAAAATACAACACAGTAAAATACAAAATAAATTAAAAAATAAAAATAAACTTTAAAACATAAACAAACTAAAACATTATCAAAAAATAAGAAAATAACTGAAAATAAAAGAAACAAAACTAATAACAAAAATTAAATAACAAAACACAACAAGCAAAGCAAAATGATAAACTTTTCTTAATTTAAACTGCCTTCCTTACATTCTTTAGTCAAGAGGTCAATGTCTATTTCTTAAATAAAATATTTTAAATCTTTTTTAAATTTTGTCATCAGTTTCTGTTCTTTTTCTGGTCAATTTCCTTGTTTTATTATAACATTTTGTATCAGTCTTGCTAGAATATTCTCTAGTTTTCTGAAGTTGAATATTATGTGTTTAAAATTGTGTATTGTCCGTCATGTGGATTTTCATGTAGTACATTAAATATTGTTTAGTTTGCCTGTGTTCAGTAAGGATTTATGACAGTCAGTAGTCTGTACTGTATAAGCTTTTATAGTTGTGGCGAGTGATCAGAAGAATAAATATATGAAGGATTTTATGTCTGATTTTATAAGTGTGTGTGTGTGTTTGTGTGTGTATTAGTAGTATGGTTCAGGCGGCCAAAGATCTACAAGGTCTGTAGAGCCAACCGAAAAAAAAAATATATATATACACACACACACATATACATATATATTTATATAGGGGCCGGGGTAGCCATATGGGCTAAGGCGCTTGCAATAGGTAAAGTTAAGCAATGTTGAGAGCGATTAGTACTTGAATGGGTGACTGTCCACCAGGAAAAGCCATGCTGCCCAGGTCTCCCCCCCAGGTATGTGAGACCCATCAGTCTACTGGAGGTAACTCACACCAACCGGTCACTGTCCTTGAACCCGAGTGAGTCGGTGGGAAGGACACTGTCAGATTGGCCCCAAAGGGGTCGGCTATGGAGATAGGGGTAGCCTGGTGCTGCACCATGGAGACCATGGTTCATAGAAAATTGAGATTTGGTGACTCCCTCCAGGCTATCTGTGCTCCCACATGCATCATATATCTGTAAGGAGACCACATCCACGCGGCCAAAGTTCTTCACGGTCTGTAGTGCCAAACGAAAAAATATATATATATACACACATACATAAGTAATACAGACTTAATTTTCATCTGATCTGTTGTTTCAACATTTGTTTTTCTTTTTATTGTTTGTACATATATTATTTTGGTTGGCATTTATAAGTATAATAAACATGATTAATTAATTAATAATATATAATTATTATTATTATTATCTATATAATAATATGATATATGATAAAAAAATAGTTTATATGAAGAGTTCCAATTTTTAGTTGACTGAATAACACTAATTTGAAACATATATTGTTCATTAAAGTTTATATTCACAGCCATTATTTGCATCAATATCTATAAGGCAGAGAATAGGAATAGGAGAGGGGGTACCCCTACTCCTACGGCTAAAAGGAAGGTGTGATCAGTCCTTTTTACAGGGTGCTAAGAAGTAAACCTATAATTTCGAATTAGTATCAAAAGGTGGTATTGACTTATCTTCCAGATTTTGGACAGCTACAATTTCCAAAAATGCAAAGGTAATTTTTTACTAATATCATACATAGTAAATAACATAATATATTTCAATATAAATACAGTATAGTGAGTAATAACGATATATAATTTCTTTTTACTGATGTGTTGGTCAGGGCCTTAATAATCCGTTCTTCTTATGTATAGTGTTTTTGAACATACTACACGCACACACACTCTCAAAATACAAAAATATATAAATAAAATCCATTACAAACCTTTTAATACCAGCTTATACTGGAATTTGGTGATATTCTTTTCAAAAAATAATTATTATTGTATAAATAAATATATATATATATATATATATATATATATATATATATATATATATATATATACATATACATATAAATAAATAAAATATTAACTTTTTTGTAAACAGCTGTTATTCTTATGGTACAATGTCCTAGAATAAAGTTATTTTTCTTTTTGATTTTAAAATATATATATTTATAAACCCAAAAACATATTTATTTATGTTGTGCTTAAAACTATGGAAATTTTCATATCCTTGCTATGGTTTATTCTTCTTTTAAATTTTGTGTGATGTTATAAGAAGATAATAATATAATGTCCTGGTC